CGGAGTTATTTTCAGATATACAGCCGCATGTTTTTCAATGTAACACTTGCATGTTCAGATATAAGAGTCATAGAACAATCTATCCCTTAAGTATGAATAAAAGTCAAGTTCCATTTGCTTTGATTCACTCGGACATGTGGGGGCCATCCCCGGTGACTACGGTCTCTGGATTCCGATGGTTTGTAACCTTTGTTGATGATTGCACTCGCATGACATGGTTATATCTGCTGAAACATAAAGATGAAGTGCTGACTGTCTTTCAATCCTTCCATATAATGGTGAAGACTCAGTTCAAATCATAGATTCAGGTACTCCGGTCTAATAACGACGTGGAATACATGAATCAACGGTTCCAAGATTATTTTCGGGTCCATGGATTACTTCATGAGACTTCATGCCCCCAAACTCCACACTAGAATGGCATTGCAGAAAGGAAGAACCGGCACATACTCGAAACTGCCCGCGCCTTGTTACTTGGAGCACATGTACCTAACCGACATTGGGCTGATGCTGTTGCTACCGCCGTGCACCTCCTTAACCGAATGCCCTCACGAGTCTTACAATTTAAAACACCATTACAAGCTCTTTCATCTTATGTCTCATTGCCCTCTGTTTTGATGATTTCACCTCGAGTTTTTGGCTGTGTGACGTTCGTACATCTACATCCAAATCAACGTACAAAATTGGATCCACGGGCAGCTCGATGTATATTCTTGGGGTATGCGCTACACCAGAAAGGGTACTGATGTTATGACCCAGTCACCCACCGTACCTATGTTACCATGGATGTCACCTTTCTGGAATCTGAAACCTTCTACTCTCGATCTACAACCAATTCTTCTCTTCAGGGGGAGAGTCAGAGTGAAGAATAGAACTAGTTTTTACTTGATTGGCCGAATACGAGTGCTTCAACAGAAATGGTGGTCCATGAAGCAACCAGTAAGGCACCTACAGAGACTACACCAGAAATATCTACAAAAACCTCAACGTTGGCATCGCCTCTACCAGCAGAAGAAGTAGAGACCCCAACCTCACCAGTACCGGAAAGCCCACCTCCTGAGGGTATCCCGGAAGCACGTGAAAGCATCCCTGAGGTAACCTCCCCTACCACTCCTTCAAGCTCTAACGATACTTTGGCTGGCTACACCTTACCTTTCAGGCATAATCGTGGCAAACCGCCAAACAGATATTCTCCAGATGTTGAGGATAGGAGGACAAAGTATCCAATTGCCAACTATGTATCAACGAAGAGACTCACCAAACCTCTAAAAACATTTGTGCAAGAATTGTCCTCTAATCATATTCCCACCAATGTCTAAGAAGCTTTGACAAACCCAAAATGGACTCGAGCCATACAAGAAGAGATGGAGGCACTACTGAAGAACAAGACATGGACTCTAGTCACCTTGCCTGAAGGGAAAAGACCAGTAGGGTGTAAATGGGTATTTTCCGTCAAATACAATGCAGATGGAGCAGTCGAGAGATACAAAGCAAGGCTGGTCGCAAAAGGATATACCCAGACACAGGGCGTAGATTATCAAGAGACTTTCTCACTAGTAGCCAAGTTGAATACGATCAGAGTCTTATTATCTCTTGCCGCAAATCTTGATTGGTCACTACACCAGTTCGATGTGAAGAACGCCTTCCTCCATGGTGATCTTGAAGAGGAGGTATACATGGACATCCCACCTGGTTATACARCGAACTCCAAGAACCAAGTTSTKTGTAAGCTACAACGAGCACTATATGGACTAAAGCAATCTCCACGGGCATGGTTTGGGAGGTTCAGTCTTGCGATGAAAAAATATGGCTTCCAGCAAAGCAATTCA